CATAAAATGATGGCAACTCAGGTGGTGCCTGTGGCTCAAAGGAGTAGGGTGCCAGCCCCATATACCAGAGGTGGTGGGTTCAAACCCAGCCCTGGCCAAAAATTACAAAAAAAAAAAAAAATAGATGGAGACTTTATCTCTTTTATGTTTACAGGGATGGAGCTGGATCACATTCTTCTTAGTAAAGTACCTCAAGCATGGGGAAAAAATACCCAATATACTCAATACTATTATGAAATCAATATATAATCACCTGCACTTTCATGTGAAAGATAAAACACAATTATAGACCAGAAAGAAGGAGAGAAAAGGAAGGTAAGGGAAGGGGAGAGGGTTGGGCAGGTGGCGAAGGGTAATTGGTGGGACCTCACCTACTGTGCATATTGCAAGGATACACATCAAATATATTAATAGTAGAGTATAAATGTCTAAACACAATGATTAAATCTGTGAGGTGAATGCTATGTTAACCAGTTTGATGTTAATATTCCAAATTGTATATAAAATCAGCACATTGTATCCTATAAATGCAGTAATGTACACAATTATGATCTAACAAAAATTAAAACACATCAGAAAAAAGTAAATAATAAAGCTATATAAAGAAAATTGAAATAAAATTACAAAAGATGTAAAAAAAAAGATGGGTATATCTTACTTGTTATTTGAGAAATTTATGTGAGAACAATGGGAAAAGTAGAAAATATCTTTACAAAAAGAGAGAAAAAGAGAGAAATGAAAAGGAAAGAAAGAATAAAAGGGGTAGGAAAACCGTAGCAAAGATAGAGCCCTTAATATTGAAGAAAGTAAAATGGAAAAATAATAATACAATAAAGTGAAACAAAACAAATAAAAATCCTTAAGGAAAAAATTAGAAGAAAAAAAGAATAACAAGAGCAAGAAAATGGGATAGAAAGAATGGAAACTTACTATTGAAGAAAGAACAAAGAAAATGATGAATACAAAGAAAAAAAGAAAAACTTAGGGGAAAAAGTTGAAAAACATTTTTTGAATGTCACCTGGACAACAGGAGACATTGTGGGGTATGAGATGCTAATAATGATGCTGATACGGCTCTATAAGATGGAGGCTGGGAGCCTCTATCTTGCCAAGGAGACCTGGTCAGTTCTTCCTGATATCTTTTCCCTCCATCCCTGCAGGGCTCTGCCAGGGGTCCTCAAACTTTTTAAACAGGGGGCCAGTTCACTGCCCCTCAAACGGTTGGAGGGCCAGACTAAAGGCCCCGAGACAAGTGGGCTGCTAAGCAGGACAGGCAGTGATGGCAAAAACACCGGGCGGGCCGGATAAATGTCCTTGGCAGGCTGCGTGTGGCCCACGGGCCGTGGTTTGAGGATACCTGTCAGGACACACCTCGAACCTCTCCAAACTGTGTACCTTGGCCATGCAATGGCTTTTCCAGGAAAACATTTTTCATGCAAGTCTCCCCATGCTGGCTGCCCAGCTCAGGAGGCGCCTGACCCGGCCTCACACTAGGTCCTTGCAGGCTGATCCTGTAACGCAGCTTTCCGACAATGGCTGCTCCTGGCCTGCAGCTGAGCAACAAGTGCTCTCCTCTGCCCAGTGGTTCAATCCCGGCCCCAGGGCTCTGTTCAAGATCACTCACTCACCCACCAAGGTAACTCCAGCAAGTGCCCAGGCCCAAAAAGTAAATAAAGAAATAAAGATCCCATGAAGGCTATGTTCACCAGTTTGACGAAAGCATGTCAAATTGTATGTAAAACCAGCACATTGTACCCCACAATTGCATTAATGTACACAGTTATGATTTAATAAAAACAAATTAAAAAAGAAAAAAGAAATAAAGATAAAGAAGAAAGGCCTTGACTGCCTGAAAACTGCCAAACTGGCTGGCCTATGCCAGCACACAAGCACTCATTTTCTGAACTGGTGCCCCAAATGCTCCTGGCCTCATTGTTGGCTCCTGGCATTTCCTCCTGCCCCTGAAGTGATGTTCCTAGGCAGGACTCCCCAACCAGAGGTGGATGAAGTCCTTTCTTCCAGATCTCACTAGTTGGCTGATTTTGACTTATTTTTAAAAATTCTTCTTGTACTGGGAACACATGGAGTTGCCTTATCATTGAAGATAAGTCCCTTTGTTTCTAGACCAGTTTGCAAAACAGCTGCCTTAGGTTGCCTACATTTCCTTTCCTGTTCTCTTCATGGAGTTTTTTTTCCAACTCTTGCATTTTTTTTTCCTGCAAAAGCCAGCATTACTATAATCCTGTTCAAGAAGAACCAGTTTTTCAAGCTACCCCTGAACATGTGTTTGATCATGTTGTCTTTCTCTTTCTAAGGAAGCCTGTTTCTCCAAGATGTCTCCTCTATTTCTGCATGCTTTATCATTTTTCACACGTACTCTGACTGTTTTTCTAAAAGATTACACTTATTTTCTGCAGCTAACAACTGAGATAACAGTTCTTGATTGTGCTTTGATTTCTCATTCTTGTTGTATCTTTTTTTTTTATTAAATCATAGCTGTGTACATTAATGCAATCATGGGGTACAGTGTGGTGTTTTCAAATACAATTTGAAATATTTTCATCAAATTGGTTAACATAGCCTTCATGTCCTTTTCTTAGTTATTGTGTTAAGATCTTTATATTCTACTTTAGAAAGAATCACTTGTACCCTTGTAAGATAAACCATAGAGATGATCCCACCAATCACCCTCCCTCCACCCATCCACACCCCTCTCATCCCCTCCCCCACCCTCTCCCCATATACTTAGACTATAATAAAGTTATAGCTTTCATATGAAAACTATAAATTAGTTTCATAATAGGATGGAGCACATTGAATACTTTTTCTTCCATTCTTGAGTTACTTTGCTAAGAAGAACATTTTCCAGCTCCATCCATGTAAACATGAAGGAGGTAAAGTCTCCATCTTTCTTTCGGGCTGCATAATATTCCATGGTATACATGTACCACAGTTTATTGATCCATTTGTGGATCGATGGGCACTTGGGCTTCTTCCATGACCTGACAATTATGAATTGGGCTGCAATAAACATTCTGATACAAATATCTTTGTTGTAATGTGATTTTTGGTCTTCTGGATAAATACCTAATAAAGGAATTGCAGAATCAAATGGCAGGTCAATTTTTAGTTCTCTAAGTGTTCTCCAGACGTCTTTGCAAAAGGAATGTATTAGTTTGCATTCCCACCAGCAGTGTAGAAGTGTTCCCTTTCTCCACATCCACGCCAACATCTCTGATTCCTCATTCTTTGAATTCCATTTGCTCGTACCTCTTCATCTAGTACTTATTTATATTTAATTGTTTCTTTAGACAAGGCTGAATCACTTTTTTCAATAAGCATTTTAAAGTGATTCCAGACATACAAGTTGCTTTTAGAATTTTTTAATTTTTAAATAATTGTAAACTCACAGGAAGTTACAAAAACAATATAATCATGAATATCCTTCACCAAGCTTACTCCATTGGTAACACCTTAGATAGACAGGGTACATTAGTGAAATCAGGGAATTGAAATTGGAATAATGCTTTCAACTAGACTACATCACATTTCACCAGTTTCTACACACATGCATATGTGTGTGAACATGTATGTGTCATTCTGTGTAATTTGTTACATGTGTAGATTCATATAACTGCTGTCTTGATTCTGTTCCATCACCATACAGGTCTCCCTCATGCTGCTCCTTTCTAAGGACATCCACACTCCTCTGCCCTAACTTCTGGCAATCATTTATCTATTCCCCTTCACTCTATATTGAGAATATTTTGTAAATAAAACATGCAGTGTATAACATTTTGAGACAGTAGCTTTTCCTTCAATATAATAACCTTAATTCAAAATGTCCTCTGTATCATCCAGTTTGTGGTAAATTATACTGGTTAATGTTTGGTTATTAAACCAACCCTGCATCACTAGGTTAAACCACTCTTGATAGTGATGTTCTATCCTCGAATATATTGTAAAATGTGATTTGGTAAAATTTAATTTAGAAATTTTGTATTTATGTTCATGAAAGTTGTTAATCTGTAGTTTTCTATTCTTATAATGGTTTTGGCTAGTTTTGTTATCAGGGTAATACATTTCTTACACCATAAGGAGGTGCTCTCTCTTCTTTAATTCTTTGAGCCTGGCAGAGAGTAGGTGCTCAATATACATTCCATGGGTTATTTGAAGTACAGAAAATTAACTAACATAAAATAAATAAACAGAAATTTTACTGAGGAAAAGTGTAATTTACGAATACATCATTAGCAAATACTATACCTTTGACAAAATGCAAGCCTTATTCACATTTATTTTCTCTTTGAACTATGACTCCTGAGGTGGAAATCACTGTCCCTGATGAGGAATGCTGCCCAGAGGGAATCATGACCCACAATCCCATTTAAGCTACTGAGATTTCTTTCAGAGAAATAAGAGGAATAAGGCTCCTCAAGTAAGGGACCTAAGAGGTTGTGACTTATCTAGGATTTTTTTTTTTTTTTTTGAGACAGAGTCTCAAGTTGTTGCCCTGGGTAGAATGCTGTGATGTCACAACTCACAGCAACCTCAAACTCTTGGGCTTAAGTGATTCTCTTACCTCAGCCTCCCAAGTTGCTGGGACTACAGGCGCCCACCACAATGCCTGGCTATTTTTTGGTTGTAGTTGTCGTTGTTTGGCAAGCCTGGGCTGGATTCGAATGCACCAGCTGCAGTGTATGTGGCTGGCACCCTAGATGCTGAGCTACAGGGACCAAGCCCAAGATTTCTTAGATGAATAAAGTTTTCACAAACTAAATCCAGTTCTACCTTCTTCTTTCCTCCCTCCCCATGCATGAATAGGTTAGTCTCCTCTCATCTGTAGCTCATCACTGCTGGCTGTGTTGCGCTCGGGGGCTGGAAGAGAAATCTCAGAAGCTTAAATGAGATTGTGAGCCATGATTCCCTCTGGGCAGCACTCCTGCAGATGAGGGGCATGGTCACCTGCAGGGATGGTGCCCAGTTTTCTACACAGAAGGTTATGGCACTGGACAGATGACTATGGGAGTCACATTTTCATCTTCATAGGCCTCATGTTGGATGTAGGGTCTCAATAAGCCTTCAAACCGATGTGTCATGGTATAAATGGGGGACTGGTCATTTATATTGAAAAAAGAGATAGTCCCACCCTCATAGTCCAGGAAGACCCCCACTTGTAAAAGGGTATTTCTTAGAGAAAGATTGATTCTATGGGGATTGAGTGTAAAATGCCAATCCATCTCCAGTCCAAGGACCCAGTACCCATTGTCAGGAGACAAAATCACATTGTTTCTAGTTCTGTCCACATCATCCCGGCACACTCCCAAGTGCCACCTTTTATTGTGTCTCACACCTACCTCCCAGTAATGTTTCCCTGCCTGAAAACCCTGAGAAGCCACCACACACATTCTTGTAAATCTCTTCTCTGAGTGGGGCACCTCCTGGGGAACATTCGTATAGCAAACAGTTTTCAGATCAGCAACGTGGAGCTGAGGGTGAGCCGTGTCTGGGTCCAGAGTCACCTCCACTGGTCACATTGCAGAAAGGACAAAGAATATAAGTTACTGTGAAAGAGTGAGACCTGAATGGGGCCTGGGGGTCACCTTTTCTGACTCTATAGTGATTCAGGTTGAGACTAAGTGAGGTCCCGGGGACAGTCTCCATTGGACGCTGCCCCTTGAGATACTTACCTCTAGTGCAAGCTGGGGCCTCATCAGCTAGCCAGCTGGATAATTCCAGCCATAAAATTATAAACTCATGTATATTATTCTAATGCTACCACAGTCCCTCCATTAAGCCCATTATTTAACTTAGTGAGACCTTGAGTGATCTTGCTTTTCTGCTTCCTCCCCTCCGCAGTTCTTGCCCAACTTTACTTAACTTCCCCATCAACTCAGCCCCTTGTGCAATCACAAATGCCCTCAACATCTAGAGTTTATATGTGACTGCCACCCTGATTGATGCTTTTCCTCCTAGATCTTGGATAAGAAGTGTGTCTGAAGGAACCTGCACCCTGGGTGCATCAGAGCATCCCAGATCATCATCATCTCCAGCTCATATGAACCTCAGTATCACTCAGCAGCCCTGTGTCTATCATTGGTCAACTCCGTTTCCTACACACCCCAGGGCTATTTCCCTCTGTCTGCATCTTAGCCACTGGTACCTGCATATTTCCGGACCTCTTTCAAATCTGAAAAAAAGCAGACAGAACAGACATCAGTGCTGACATGGAGAGCAAGAGGCAGAGAGCGGGAGAGAGGAAATACGGTTGCTTTTATGGGGTCAAGGAGCCACCAGAAATCTGATGAGTGCTATAAGCCTTCTTTTATTCATTCATTCATTCATTCATTTATTTTTGGCTATACGGCTTCTATACAAATTGTACTTCACCCAGTATTTGCTAACAGTTTCAGGGTCCCCACAGCTCGGCAGCCCATCACAAGCTTGCCCACATACAACATAAAAGAAAAGAAAGCAAGAAAAGAGGAAGAATGGCTTCTCTCACCTGCCTGTCTATGCTTCTTTCTCCATTCTGAAAACAAGAACACAGAAGCTCAAATAACAGAACAAAGGCCCCAGGGGAGAATGTGGAAAAAAGGTCTGCATGTGATAGTACTCTCACCCAGTGTTTCCTGGAGTCCCTCTGAAACAAAAAAAACAGAATATTCAGTGATGATACAGGCTTGGATAAAGACTCAAATGATCAGGCCAGGGGAAGCTGAGGGAGACAGCACACAGGTTCTTCACCATCTATCTAATCCACACACCTTCAAAGAGCTCACAAAATTGACAGCTTCTCTCTCCACAAAATGTATCACTAGGCAAAATTTGTAGATAATTTTAGAGGGTTTGCCCACGTCAAGGTTCCCAGATGTCTGAGGACTGATTCCTTAGTTAGTTAATGTAATGGAAAGGGAACCAGTTGCTCTTATTAGACTGTGCATGTTTCCTGTTCAGTCTGGAGACAGAATACGGAATAAATGATCCAAACATGGAGCATGAGGGGAACCAGGAGAATTGTGTGTGGAAGGCTCGGAACATGATAAAGACACTTACCCAGTTTTTTCTGGATTTTCCCTGAAACAGAAACAGAGTGTTAGTGTTAACACATGAGGGTCTAAGATACAAATACAACCCAGGTGTCTTGCTAGGTGGGACAAGCTGTGAGTATGAAGGCCAGGGGCTCTCCTAGGCTTCTCTCTGCTTTTGTGCCTTACCCCTAGCTCCTATACTGAGTATCTCTGTCAGGTAAAACGAGTTCAGGATCATTCATACTGAAGGAACAGAGTTCCAGGACCCTGTGTAGGTTAGGTTGGAGGTTATCAGGAAGAAGGTAGCTAGGTAGAGAAGGTGAGATTGATTAAGGCATGCATCTTCAAGGAGGAGTATTGCTTCCAAGGAGAAGAAAATTGATTCTTGGAATAAAGACTCCATATTTGGGCTGAATATTACTCTTCACTTTTTTTTCTTTCTTTTTTTCCTTTTTTTTTTTTTCTTAGAGATAGAGTCTTACTTTGTTGCCCTCCATAGAATGCTGTGGCATCACAGCTCACAGCAACCTCCAGTTCTTGGACTTAGCTGATTCTCTTGCCTCAGCCTCAGCTGGGACTACAGGTGCCTGCCACAATGCCCGGCTATTTTTTTGTTGCAATTTGGCTGGGGCTGGGTTTGAACCTGCCACCTGTATATGGGGCTGCTGACCTACCTACTGAGCCACAGGTGTCACCCTATTTCTTCACTTCTATTTCCTCCTATATGTAGTCTTTTCAACTACAGTGAAACTTTTTAAGCAAAGTCTTGATATACTTCTTGGAAATTTATATTAGCTCCATAGGTTCCAAAAATCATTCTTACCTTAAATATGGCCCCTCTGTAATGTAGGATGGGCCTGAAAATGCTGGAATTCCCTAAGGGAGTCATTTCAGACAACCATTTTGAGGGATGAGGACTGTGGTCTCTGTGGCCAAGGTGATGGGGCCCTGGAACCCAGGGCTATAAGAAAAGATCCAGGAGATGGGAGAATCCCTGATCATTAGTCCACTGGACCATGCATCACCCATGTCTCTCTCTCACTTACCCTGGGATTTGGAGAATAAAATCTTCATCCCAATGATGCCAACAGATATACCAATGCAGAGCGGTGTCAGTGAGATAAAAGCCAGGAGCCAGGGTGAACGCTGGAAAAACATCTCTGAAAAACAGTTCCAAAGACCCCTTGATGCTTGCTAAACAGTTGAAACAACTTAATAAATGCATTAATGTATACATGACCTACCTCTTTATGAGTTAATAAAAAAATAAATATAGCAACTCAATTCTCATTTCAAAATCCCCTTGTACCTCAAGATGAAAAGGATATTTTTATATAATTTCTGTTTTAGGTTCAAAACTTTCCATTTCTGAATGTCTTAATTCATCTGGGTTTTCTTTTTGTATATAAAATAAAATTCTATTTAATTTTCTTTTAAATGGATAACAACTGTGACAGCATAATTTATTGAATGGGCTTTTATTTATTCACTGTTATGTACAATGTCACATTTATCTATATAACATTTCTGTTTAGGTTTGAATATTTGTCCCAGCTCTCTGTTATGTGCCATTGGTCCTCTTGTCTATCTCTGTGCCCATAATTTTGACTGGCTCAATCATCACAGCCATGGAATAAGTCTTGATGTATACTAAACTGAGAGTATCAGTTTTTATTTTTTATTTTAATAGATTTGGGGATTACAAGTTAATTCTCTATTACATGTATTTACTACACAGTAGTAAAGTCTGACTGACTTTTGGTATACCCATCACCCAAGCGGTGTATGCTACACTCCATAGGTGACTTTTTATTCCTTCCCCTCCCCCGCTTGTAAGTCTGCAAGGTCCACTATACCACTCTATGTGTCTTTGTGTAGCCACAGTTCAGCTTTTACGTACAAGTGAGAACACGTGGCATTTATTTTTCTGTTCCTGAACTACTTTACTTAGGATAATGGCCTCCAGTTCTACCCAAGATTTTGCAAGACATTATTTCATACTTTATTATTGCTGAGTGGTACTCCATGGTGTGTGTGTGTGTGTGTTCATTGTGCATTTTTGTGTACCACATTTACTTTACCCACTCCTCAATGATAGACACTCAGGCTGATTTCATGTCTTTGTAATTGTGAATTGTGCTGCAATAAACATATAAGTGCATAGGTTTTTTTCATATAATTATTTCTTTGCCTCTGAGTAGATACTCAGTAGTGGGACTGTGGGATTGAATGGCAGATATACTTTTATTTATTTGAGAATTCTCCATACTGATCTCCAAAGAGGCTGTGCTGATTTACATCACCACCAAGAGTTTGTGTTTCCTTTTCACCACCTCAATTAATTCTTTAGTTTTTTGTAATGGTACTTCTAACTGGAGTAAGATTGCATTTCCTTGTGGTTTTGCTTGCCAAGAGATATTGCTTTTGACATTTTAATAATGACCATTCTGATATGAGTAAAGTGGTATCTCACTGTGGTTTTCATTTGCATTTCTATGATGATTAGTGATGTGGGAAATTTTTCATATGTGCATTGGCCATTTGAATTTGTTCTTTTGAAAAATGACTATTCATGTCTTTTGTCTACTTTATTTTTATTTATTTATTTATTTATTTTTGAGACAGAGTCTCATTATGTTGCCCTTGGTAGAGTGCCATGGCATCACAGCTTACAGTAACCTCAAACTCTTGGGTTCAAGCAATTCTCTCGCCTCAGCCTCCTAAGTGGGTGGGATTACAGGTGCCTGCCGCATTGCCCTGCTTTTTTTTTTTTTTTTTGTTATAGTTGTCATTGTTGTTTAGCAGGCCCAGGCTGGGTTTGAACCTGCCAGCCCGGGTTTTGAAGTTGAGTCCCTAGGGTTTTCCAGGTATAAAATCATAGCATCTGTGAAGAGCGAAAGTTTGATTTCCTCTGATCCTATTTATATAACCTTGATTCTTGATTGCCTTGCCTGATTGTGATGGCTAAGACTTCCATTACAATGTTAAAAAGCAGTGGAGACAAAGGGAAACCTTGCTTGGTTTCTGATCTGAGTGGAAATGATTTCAATTAAACTCCATTCAATATGATATTGGCTATGGGTTTGCTATAGATGGCCTCTATCAGTTTAGAAAATATCCCTTCTATACCTATTTTTTAAAGTGTTCTGATCATAAAAGGATGCTGGATATTATCAAAAGCTTTTTCTGCATCAATTGAGAGAATCATATAGTCTTTGTTTTTTAATTTGTTTATGTGATGTATTGTATTTATAGATTCACGTATATTGAACCATCCTTGAGACCCTGGGATAAAACCAACTTGGACATGGTGTATAATTTGTTTGATGTGATGCTGGATTCTGTTTTCTAGGATCTTATTGAATATTTTTGCATCTATATTCATTAAAGATATTGGTCTATAATTTTCTTTTCTTATTGGGTCTTTTCCTGGTTTGGGGATCAGAGTGATATTTGCTTCATAGAATGTGTTGGGAAGTATTCCTTCTTTTTCTATGCTTTGGAAAAGGTACTAGTTCCTCTTGAAAGGGTTGGTAGAATTCTGATGTGAAGCCATCTGGTCCCATACTCTTCTGTTTTTTGGACATTTCATATAGTTGATGCTATTTTAGTACTTGATATAGATCATTCCACATTTCTAATTCTTTTCTGGTAAATTTAGGAAGGTGGTGTGCTTCCAAGTATTGGTGTATTTCCTTCAGATTTTTGTATTTCTGAGAATAGAGTTTCTTGTAATATTCATTAAGGATTTTTTTAATTTCTGAGGAGTCTGTTGTTATTTTGTCTTTACCATTGCTGATTGATGAAATTAGAGACTTTACTCTTTTATTCCTGGTTAGATTAGCCAAAAGTTTATCTATTTTATTGACCTGTTCAAAAAACCAACTTTTTGGCTTGGCACCTGTGGCTCAAGTGGCTAAGGCGCCAGCCACATACACCTAAGGTGGCGTGTTCGAATCCAGCCCAGGCCTGCCAAACAACAATGATGGCTGCAACCAAAAAATAACCAGGTGTTGTAGCGAGCACCTGTGGTCCCAGCTACTTGGGAGGCAGAGGCAGGAGACTCACTTGAGCCCAGGAGTTGGAGGTTGCTGTGAGCTTTGATGCCATGGCACTCTACCCAGGGGGACAGCTTGAGGCTTTTTTTCAAAAAAAAAAACCCCAACTTTTTGATTTATTGATCTGTTGTATAATCCTTTTGTTTTTGATTTCATTTAATTCAGCTCTGATTTTGGTTATTTTCTTTTCTTCTGCTGGGTTTGGGTTTGGTGTGTTCTTCCTTTTCCAGTTGCTTGAGATGTCCCATTAAGTTGTTGACTTCCTCTCTTTCTGTTCCCTTGAGGAAGGCTTGCAATGCTATAAATTTCCCTCTTAGGACTGGCTTTGCAGTATTGCAGAGGTTCTGATAATTCATGTCTTCATTATCATTCTGTTCTAAAAACTTGGTAACTTCCTTTTTAATCTCATCTTTGACCCAGCTATCTTTCAGTGTAAAGTTATTTAGTTTCCATATCTTTGTATGAGTATGCTGATTCCTGTTATTGGTATGTTCAACTTTTATTGCACAATGATCTGAGAAAATACACAGAATAATTTCTCTTCTTCTAAATTTGCTGAGGTTAGACTTGTGACCTAAGATATGATCAATTTTGGAGGGTGTTCCATGGGCTGATGAGAAGAATGTGTATTTAATTTTGTTAGGATGAAATGTTCTGTAGATGTCTATTAATTTCAATTGTTTTATGGTAAAGTTTAAGTCCAAAATTTCTTTGCTTAGTTTCTTCTTGGAGGATCTATCCAACACTGCCAAAGGGGTGTTAAATTCTCCAACTATTATGGTGCTGGAAGATATCAAATGTTCACGTCTGTTAGGGTCTTGCTTATAAATTGAGGATCATTTTGGTTGGGTGCATAAATGTTAATTTGATATCTCATTATGTTGAGTGTTTCCCTCAACATAAATGGTAAATATGAAGTTACCATCATTGTATTTCCTTACTTTTACTGGTTTAAAGCCTAATGTATCTACAAATAAAATTGCAACCCCTGCTTTCTTTTGTTTTCCATTTGCCTTGATTATAGATGTCCATCCCTTCATCCTGAGTCTATATTTATCTTTTAAGATAAGATGAAATTCTTGTATGCAGCAGATATCTGGCTTGAGTTTTTGTATCAAGTCAGCCAATTTGTGCCTCTTTAGCAGACAATTTAAGCCAATCACATTAATTGAGAGTATTGATAAGCCTTGTGGTATTTGGGGTGTCAAGTTTTTCAGAAGACCAGTGGATGTTTTTAATCCTTCCTTTTGGAAGTTGGGTTTTGATCAATAATTTCTGAGTGAGCTTACTTTGGTGGTAGATTATTGTGGTGGTCATTATGGAGAATGGGTCTGAGAATATCTTGAAGAGCTGGCTTAGTTATGGCAAATGTCTTCAACATGTGAATGTCATTAAAGTATTTGACTTCTCCATCATAAATGAAACTCAGTTTAGCCAGATACAGTATCCTGGGCTGAAAAGTGTTTTGTTTTAGGAGATTGATGGTCAATGACCATCTTATTCTGGCTTGAAAAAATTCAGGAGACAGATGTGCAGTCATTCTGATGTTCTTCCCCTTGTAGGTTATGATTTTCTTATGTCTGTCTGCTTGCAGAATTTTCTCTTTTGTATTGACTTTGGTGAAGTTAATTACAATGTCTAGGGGGATGTTTTATTTGGATTGAGTCATGCTGGGGTTCTGAAACTGTCTGCTATCTGAATTTCAGAATCTCTTGCCATGTTTGGAAAGTTTTCCTATAAAATCTCTTGGAGTAGAGCATCTGTGCCTTTCAGAATAATCTTATCACCTTCAGGACTTCCAATAAAGTGAATATTTGCTTTTTTGGGTGGTCCCACAATTCCCTTAAGGAATGATCTGTCTTTGCTCTCCATTTCTCTTTGTCTTTGAGCATTTGGGGGCATTCAAAAGCTTTGTCTTCAGTGTCCAAGATCTTTTCTTCTGCTTGCTCCATCCTATTACTGAGGGATCCACTGTATTTCTCAGGTCTTTGAGGGATGCAAATTCTTGCCTCAATTTGTCAAAATCTTTGGTGATTTTATCTTTGAATTCCTTGAATTCTTGAGACAACTTTTGAATTGCTCCTTGAACTTCTAATTCCAAT